TTGGTTTAATATAATGTTAAACCCAGTAGAGTTATTTTTGCTCTGTTGAAATTGAAGCTTAGGAGCTAAAATGCATTTATTTATTTCTTCCTGTGAAATATTTTTCATATGGAGCTAAATAGTTCTTGAATGTTTTACAATATGTGGTGCTTGTTCATCTTCTGAATACTAATGAATGTCAAGTTATGTTCTAATGATCTCTCCAAGGGGAAGCCTATTGATCAAGAAGAGGCTACATTCTAAAAAGGAATCCCAAGGCAGCCATCTTACAGCATCCACAAAGTGAATTAGAAGTGGAAATAATGATTGCTCCTGCCTATTCCAAAAGCTAAGTTTTAAGTTGGTGAAGTTCAAACAATAGATTTCTTTTTAAATGTGGTAAATGGAGCTGTGGAAGTGCCTAATTTCATTACTATTTATAGGAAGGGATTTAGGGGAAAATTTATGCTCAAAGCTCACAAAAGAACAGTATAACTATTTGAGAATATCTTTAATGACATTTAGATAATTTTAGTTATTAGATGGAGTTTATGTCTGTGCCAATTTTAATATATTTTATTACAACAAAAAGAAGAGAATTTCACAATTGTATGAGTAATATAGTAGAATCCTTTTGAGAGTGAAGTTCAATAGGACTTGGTTATGGATAGGTGCAACATATTTAATTCATTTAGAGAATCACCAGTAAAACCCTTCATGTAGAATGATTAAATTAAAGAACCATAGAAACTCAGAAATTCAAAGGTTCTTAGCAGCCACAATGTGTGCAGCCTCTGACTCCATGGATGGGGAATGGATATTTTCTGTAACATTCCGGACAGATGACTATCTTGCTTTTGCTTAAATGATTCAAGTGAAGGAGAACTTACCACATACCATATGGAAGTTTATTTGCATTTTAGATGGTTCTAATTATTAAAAATGGTAAAAATCAAATCTCCTTTTCTTTAAATATTTTATACATACAGGCAATAAACTCCAGTAGAGAAGCCCTGGATTTGGAATTGGCAGATGTGGCTTCAAATTCTAGCTCCACCATTTTCTACCTGCATTATCATGGGCAAGTTAGTTAACCTCTCTGGCCTGCAATTTCCTCATTTTCAAAATGAGAAGTTTTGATTAGGTAACCTTTAAATTCCTTTTCTTCTTTAAATCTATGATTCAATATTCTATTATTTCATTTTCAACAAATATCTAAATAGTTGGAGTTTCTCATTGCTGGCAATGAGCCAATGAATATTAAGCACATGCTACATGAGAAAGGTAAAAAAGATAGTCCCTACTCTCAAGGAGTTCCCAGTCAAATGTGGGAGAACACATGCAAACAACTATGTATAATCCAATTATATATAGAATAAATTTGAATTAGTCAAGAGGTAGGAAATTAGAATTAAGGGAAATAGAAGATGGAATTTTAGATGGAATTTGAAGGAAGCCATAGAATTCAGATCCCAGAGATGAGAAGGAAGAACATTCTAGGCATAGGAGACAACCAGTGAAAATGCTTTGAGTTGGGAGATGGAGTACTTTGCTTGAGGAAGAGCAAGGAGATTAGTGTCACTGGGTTAAATGGTGTAGGGGGCAGGTGGTAGAGTGTAAAGTGTAAGAACACAAGAAAAATGAGAAGCAGGTTATGAAGTGTTTTGAAAGTCAAACATATGATTTTTTATTTGATCCTACAGGTGATAGGTAGACATGGTCATCCCTATTAGGAAAATCAGTTTGACAGCTTAATTGGACTAGATTGAGAGATTTATGGCAAGGAGACCTTTCTCCTCTCACATGGAAATCAATCTACATTTCTAACAATACTAGAGGCTATTTAGGATGAAAACTCCAAATTGTATACAGAATCCATCAATGGAAATAGATCCCTGGGTGCCTATACTTCATAGACCCTAATATGAACTATGTCTTTCCCTTGAAGTTCCCTTTGCAACTGTCATGACAGAATACTTTTTCCTGTGTCTCTATACCACTGGGACCTGTGAAAGTCTTTATTTAAGGCTGCCTTGTGACAAGTCTTGTACTTTGTTAATATCTGCTAATCTTCCTGATGTTAGCTATTAATATCACTCTCCATCAGTTCTGTGTCAACTTAAATAACCTTCGTGATCCTAAGCATTGCATTGCTCAGCTTTGGAGCAGGTACTAAGATATCTGAAGCAGCTTGGTTCAGTACTAAGAGCACTATCTCTGGAAACAGAGAACCTGAATGCAAATCTCACATTTCACAACCTACTACTCTACCTGTGTGACCTTCAACAAATTATAAAACATCATTGGGCTTCAGCTTCATAATCTGTAAAAATTTAGTTAGGCAAGAATGTCTCTGAGGTCCCTTCTAGTTCTATATTTATGGTCCTATAAACCGTTCATTGGAGGAAAAGACAAGATAATTCAAAAAAGAGGAGGGAAATGTCTGCAAAAAATATAACTAGTTTGTACTTAATGATTAATACCTGGTGAACCAGATCTCAATTCCACATGCCATGAGATGGCCTGACTTGGGTCCACATTCCATGTTAAGGTCAATCTTCTCATTATACAAACATATTTGATTTCTAACATAAGCATGTAGAACTCAAAAGCTAAATGATTTACAAAAAGTAAGGAAGTTTTCATTGGTCCATAGACTCTACAGATACAGTATTTGAAGGATAAGTTTCTTGGCATCAGGGATTTCTTTCTCAAATATTCTTATAATAAGAGAGTTACTACTCAACTAACAGATTACTTGTATTATATTTATTCAAGATATTCCATTCAGCCATATTTTATCCTTATACTAGGCATTTTACAAATCAGTGGAGTAGAATGTATTATATGAAATAAAACTAATTTAATATAATTGCAGCAACTTTAGCTAAATAAGTGTTGCTTCCCACTCACTCTTTAGAGTCAATGAGAAATTTGAAGGTTAAGTGCCTATCTCAGGGGTAGGATAGAGAAAAGAAAAATAAAAGAATGGAAATTGAACTATTCTAAAAAATAAATGGTGAGACATTCAATACTCTAATCTATTATTCATTCTCTTAAAGAGGCACATAGTCTAATATTTTTTAATTATCAATAACCTGTTTGGGTGAAATAATTTTTGCTCAAAGGATTGCTGTTCAACTTCAGCAAATGATTCTTAAGTTTCTAAGAAGTGTTAGATACTGTGCTTAATACAGAGGCTGTAAAGGCAAAAGTGAATCCTTCTTTCTCTTCATTCAGTCAGCTAGCAAACAAATATTTGTATATTTTTATTTTATTACATGCAATGTGCTAATTGCAGAGGATAGAAAGACAAATAATACCTATCCTCAAAGGCATCACAGTTTCAGCAGTGAGACACCATGTAAACAAATGGGAATAAACAAGGTTGTATACACACACACACATACACACATACACACATACCTACATATATGTAAATATAAGCATGTATGCGTGTATCTAGTTCATTTCCATTATTCCAAGTATTCAATGTATTTTATTTGTCTAGTTATACACACACACACACACACACACACACACACACACAGATGTGTGTGAATGTTTAGTTACTTCCTATTTATTCAGTCTATGTATATATTCAGTATACATGTTATATAAACATATATATACTTACATATACATGAATGCATATATATGTATATTAGATTGCATATATATTTGAATATCTAGAGATACCATGTATTTGATTTGATCGTTGAAGGAAAGAGTAAGGAATTCAGTTGTAAAGGAGGCAGTTAGAGATTACATTGTTCACAGGAAATAGAGAAATGGAAAAGGAAGTACCTTGCACAAAAAACAGCAAGTAGGTCATATGGTATACATAATTTACGGGAAAGTGAAAAAATAGGAATAGGTCAGGTTGCAGAGAACTTTGAATTCCAAACTGAGGGCTTTGTATCAGGTTGTTAAAAAAAAGAAGTTCTAGCCTCAGACACTTAGTGACTGTGTAACCCTGGGCAAGTCATTTATTGTCTTACTGCTTCAGTTTCTCCAACTGTAAAATGGGCAGTAAATAGTATGTACCTCTGTTATAAAGATCATTTTTAAAGTATTTAATAAAAATTAGTAATCACAACTGTGCAAAAATTTTTACAGCAAGTTTCCCTGACAATGGCCTTTTTTCTCAAACATATGCAGAAAGGAATAAAATTTGTAAGAATACAAGTCATTCACCAATGGACAAATATTGAAAGGATATAAACAGGCAGTTTTTAGAAGAAAAAAATCAAAGATATCTATAATCATATGAAAAATGCTCTAAATCAATATTGATTAGAGAAATACAAATTAAAACAACTATAAAATTATAACACTTATCCGACTGGCTAATATGAGAGCAAAGGGAAGTGACAAATGTTGGAGAGCGGGAATTTTGCCCAAAAGGCATACCTTTTGATTCTACAATACCACTACTAGGTCTTATTAAAGTAAACCCCCTTTGAACTACTGAACGGATGAAACCCCAGTCCCAAAAAGGGAACCTGGAATGAACCAGAATATGATCACAATTTACACAGATTATAAATTCATTTTATTGCCTGAGAAGAAGTTTGCAAGCTGGAACAATATCTGTTCTGACATGTTCAAGGCCCACTTGGAATGAGTGAGCTATTTATATGTTTCAAACGAAGGGAGGCAGGGAATTTGGGAAAAAAGGCAAGAATGAGTCAGTCCTTGTTCCCAGGGAAGGGGAGAACCAGGAGGGGAGTAAGGAATTCTAGGTGTCAGATATGTGGCCCTTTGATACACAAATCATCCTAATAGTTCAAGGGTTGAACACAAATAAGATAATGGAAGGTAAAACAGGTAAAGAGTGTCTCTTGAAGGTCCATAAACCACCAAATGGCTCAGGATATGCTGCAAAGTTGCTATGAGCTGAATTGGATTTAGAGTTGCTGATTTTCTGCATGTCCAACTAGGTTTACTCTTGGTTACCACCAAGGATTGTTAGTATGACAAGCCAATACAACCAGCCCTCATACAGCTCTTCTGGTTACCTGGATAGCTGGGCAGGGGGAGGAGTAAGCAGAGGTGATTTTCTCAAGCAAATCAATGTATCCATTTTTACAGTCTGTATCTGAAAGGTATGAAAAGAAAAAAGATTTATATATCCAAAAAATATTTATAGCTGCTCTTTTCATGGTGTCAAAGAATGAAATTGAGGGGATGCCCATCAATTGGAGAATGGCTGAAAAAGTGGTGGTATATGATTGTAATGGAATACTATTTTGCAATAAGAAATGATAAGCTGGCAGATTTCAGAAAAACCTGAAAAGACTTACATGAACTGATGCTGAATAAAGTGAGCAGAACTAGAACACTGTACACAGTAATAGCAATACTGTACGATGTTCAACTGTGAATGCCTTAGGTATTCTCTGCAATGCAATGATGCAAGAAAATTCTATAAAACATTTCAAATTTGTATGCTCTATGCATATAGTAGATTGTTTAGTAAAGGTTTGCTAAGCTCAAATTTTTGACAATGCATCCTAACTCAACAGGAATCCAAAGAAGTTTTTTTTTTTTTACTTTAATATTAGGATTACAGAAATAGGTGATTTACTTTACATTTAATGAAGATTATTTCTGTAGGGAAATATTTTACTTCTTGCATTGTTTCTAGGAGGGAGCCCAATTATGATTGAAGATGAAAGACAATTCTATAAAAATTTTTCAGTTCAAGTTTGTAGTATCTTATATGAAGAACTGAACCTAATTAAAATACTCCCTCACCATCAAATTATGATAAAAGTATATTAGATAAATAAAATAGCTAAGTAATTCATAGTGGTGTGATTGTCAGCAGAAGCAGACACCATTTATACTTTACTCATTTACGCACATTCATATTATATATATATATATATATACATATATATATACACATATATATATATACATATATATATATGCATGTTTTTAAATGTACATATGTGTATGTATATATGTATAGATATACATATACATATATAATACATATGAAACATAAATATTCTCCATGCCACTCTCTATAATAATGGTAGGAGATCCTAGTGTGTCAACTGATACAAAAATGTTATTATAATATTATTTTGAAATACAAGTTTTCATCCCATCTCTATTTACTTTATGAATAAAACCGTATCAATTTGATAGGATGCCTTGGTGCCTGTGCTTGGACCCCAATTTCTCCCTGGCCTCAGAAACACTATCCCTGGTAATTTTCCCCCAGCCCAAGGACACTGTCCCTGGCAATTACTCATGAGTGTGCCTCAGCACAACACTTAGATATCTCTCTCCTTGTGACACAAAGCTGGGTGAGAGAGTGCTTGGCTGCCCCCAACCCTAAGATCATATCTCTGGAAGCCTCCTAATTCCTTAGTAAGATCCTGTCTTGTGAGAAAACTTTTCCTTATTGCTAATTAGGACAGAGAGAGAAGGGTGTCTTGTCGGGCCCAAAGAGTTTTGTCTCTGGCTGGCCAGGGACTCTTCCTCCCACCAGATTCTCAAGATCCTCTGACATCTCCCTTCCTATGTGGTATACTCCCTACACTTTCCTAGCTGTAGCTCCCAAAGACACCTGGATCTTTAGATTACCTAATCAGTATCCCTGGCATTCCTTTCCCATGCCCTTTTTCACATAAATCTCAGCTCCATCCTCAGTCTCTTGCAGGTTCCTTAAGAATCCTTGCCCCCTGAAAAGCGTAACAATAAATCTTTGCCAATTTGACTCAAAGAATGCTTGAGTCTGTGAATTAATTTCAAAAGACCCCATCATGTACTCTAGTCTTTGAGGGGTCTCGACCTGTCAGACTGCAACAAATTGTGTACTGTGTCAATTGATCTATCTTTATTTTTGAGATGTTCTTAGATTCCAGGCTTTCAATTGATCCAAAAACAATCAAACTAATTTTTTGTGATTTTTATAATAAAAATATGCTAATATTGGCAAATTTGAGAATTAATAATATCAAAAATACTAATGAAACACAAAGTGCAGCTTTCATCAAATTCTAAATCTACATAAATTATTTTCTTTTAAAGGGACTTCTGTCTTTGTGTTGGCAAATATTTCATTATAAAAGACCAACAAAGAAAAAAAAGAACATAAGCTTAAGATGAAGTGAATTAGATTTACCCTATGATATTCCTGTATTCTCTAAAAATGTAACTTCCTGTCTTCATTCTTTACTTTCTCTAACCTTACCCAAACTTTATTGTTGAAAGTTATATTGAAAGTTTTTCCGAGGGGTGGAGCCAAGATGGTAGAGTGAAAGCAGTGACTTGCTTGAGCTCTCCCCTAAATCCCTCCAAATACCTATAAAAAATGGCTCTAAACAAATTCTGAAGCAGCAGAACCCACAAAAGACAGAGTGAGACAAATTTCCAGCCCAAAAGAACCTGGATGGTTGATCAGAAAGATATATTGTGTTGGGCAGGGAGAGAAGCACAGCTCGGTGTGGGCACACAGGCCTCAGCTAACCTGGAGCAGGCCTCAAGGGACTGAATTGCTGGCAGCTGTGGTGGTTTCCAGACTTCTCAACTCACAAACACCAAAGACAATTTAGAAGGTCAGTGGGAAAAGTCTGTTTCTACTATGAGAAAGAAGCAGGGTGGCCTCAGCCCCAGTTCCCAAGCGTTGCCCTGGGGTGGTGGCTGCTTCCTGAGCTTCTGGTCCACATACTGAGGGGGAATAGAGTGGCTGATCAGAGAGGGATAGCAGGAATCTTTTGCTTTGCCTGTGCTTGAATCTGGGTAACAGTTCTGAGGGGCAGTCCTGGGGCGAGGACGAGCGAGCATTGGCATGGTGGAGCTTGTAGTGGCTGTGGAGAGGAAATTCTCCTCACAGACCACAGCACAGGCCAAGAAAGGAGTAAACACCTCACCCCTTATCATACCACCTTGGAAAAACTGAAAATTTACAGGTCCCTAGAAGTATCTCTGAAAACAGCTGTACAAACCCTCAAAAGCTTGGGACAGTACATTCTCCATATTGGAGGCAGACCTGTACCTTAATAAAGAGTTTATAACTCAAGTAATTGGCTGCGAGCATGAGCAAACCTCACAAGAAGTGTCAGACCATAGAATCTTTTTTTGGTGACAGATGTGTGAGACAAGTGAAAGTTTCTCATGTGAAATGGAAACTTTGCCCCAAAAATTTAGTTAAGGCTTTAGCATTAGCTGGGCTTACGGATCTTTTTCCTGTAAATCATATAATAGGGTCAGACACCAGCTGCCCACCCCCTTCTTTGTTTTGTAACCATCACCCCAGCCTTATCTTTACCAAATAAGGCAATCTGCTAGCTTCCAAGCTTGGTTCAGGTAAAATGTATCTCTTGGGTTCCAAATATAGATTGTAAAGTCTCTTGCCTCAACCAATGAGGATAAAGAGATTGAGGTAAACAAGTGGGGAGGGCGATTTCTTGGAGTGGTTTGTCTAAGGGTATATAACTAGTTGCTTGCTGTTGTATCTTGCCTCACTACTCCAGTCCTCCCTGGGTGCCCAACTCTTGCACGAGACTTGCTAGAATAAAACCTGTTTTCTACCTGGAGAAACCTCTGAGTTTTTATTTGGGTAAGTGGTCTCAATCCCATTCAATTGGGGAATCATCCAGAATTTTCTTTAATTAGGAAGGGGGCTTCCTTGACGAGGTCAAGACAAAGCGCACATCCAAGATTTTTCGGAGATCTTGAGCTCCAGAGGGAGGTTGCTGCCCAGTCTTTGAAATAAACCCGAAGAAAAGGACTCAGAGGAACGGAAGGTTTGTTAGGGCTCTGATGATTAAAAACGAAACTGCAAAATTGCAGCCCGCCGGTGAGTGAGAGCAGTCATATAAGTTGTACGGTGCAATCCTGGGGTAAGCACTCAAGGGTCTGGAGATAATTGGCATAGGGTGAGGGGCCTTGTAGGATGGATTGTAGTCTGGGCAGAGTCAGGGCCTAGTCAAATTGTAGAATAGATACTTCATCGAAAGGACTCGGCTGAGAAAGCTTCCCGGGTGACTGGTGAGGAGTGGGCAACCCTCCTCGGTGATTCAGCTGAGTCTGTCTTTAGACTCGGGAGTTCGGTGACAGCTCCTATAAATTCTCTAGGTGAGGGCGTAGGGGTTCCCTAAGAATGGGAGAGGGACAATCTAAATCTGCACAGTCGGAGCTCACATGTGAGGTACCTATAGACAGTCCTTTAGGCAATAGATTGCAGAATTGGAATGGACTACCAAAATACAGAGGAAAGGATAGGAAGAAAATGATTAAATATTGTTGTGTTAACTGGGGGGAATGGATATCGGGGGCGGCACTGCATGGCTGAAATTTGGATCCTCAGAAGATTGGATGTGCCAAAAGCTAAATTTATATGTGAATGCTAAGGAACCGTTTAATCCAGAGGAGAGTTCCTATGAGGCACTCTGGATGCCTGAGGTGCAGCAGATGTTGGTGAGGGGCAGGAAGGGAAAGAAGGAAGAGATTCAGCCCCACTCTTGGGACCCTCTCCTTTCCCTACCCCCTCCAGAGGCTGCTTCGGGGGCTCCTCTTCCTGGTCTTCCTAATTCCAATCCTGGTTCTATACCAACTCTGGCTCCCCCTGAGAAGGACCTAGAGGGTGATCTTATCGATTTGCAGAAGTCTCCCCGAGGGCCTTTAAAGAGGGAGTTGAAACAGCTCCTGAAGGACCAGAAAAACTTACCTCTTGAGCCAAAGGAAATAAACCTGTTCCCTTTAAGCGAGGTTCCTCTGGCCCAAGGGGGTTTTGGGTTTGTGAATGTTCCTTTGAGCACCACTGAGGTCAGGAGCTTTAAGAAAGAAATGAAAATTTTGATGGAAGACCCAAGTGTCCTTTTGGAACAATTATATCAGTTTCTGGGCCCAAACATTTATACTTGGAGTGAGCTAATGTCCATTATGAATGTTCTATTTTCTCATGAGGAGAAAGGGATGATGAGAAGGGTGGCTATGATAGAATGGCCCTGTGGCCGAGGTGATACCAGCAGAACAAAACTATCCAACCCTTGATCCTGGGTGGAATCATAATAATGTGGCTCACAGAACACATATGCAGGATCTGAGGGAATTAATTATGATTAGAATCAGGAATGC